TTATTCGGCACTTGTGTGCCAGGAAATGGATCTCATTTAGTCTTCACAAACAACTCTACATAGTAGGTACTAAGTATTATTATTCTCATTTTGTGAATGAAGAAACAGAAAGGTTGAACTAAGCTTAAAGACACAAAGATAATCAGTGAAGAAATAGATACTCAATTCAGATTGCCTGGCATCCAACTCCAAACCCTAAAACCTTAACCATTATTTAATACTACTAGGTTACTACTGTTCCCACTGTTTGTTCTTTATGAGAAATAAAAACTCATCAAGAGTCTCTGAGCAAGCTACAAACAGGAACCATGGGTGCTCATGTGCCTATGGGAACTTGGACTCCAACAACACTACTAGTTTCTGCAAAGGACCCACTCATACATATCTCGAAACCTAAAACCTCACCTACATCTGGCTTCACCTGGGATAGTGCACAATCCCACAGCTTGGCAAGTGGAGGCGAATGAAAGTGTAGTCAATTCCAATAAAAGAAGAACTCTGAGCATATTAATTTGGAATTCTAAACATGATTCTCCATAGAAACATTACTGCACGATACTTAAACAGGTAAAAGAGACTAATATGGCTGACCTAGAAACCTAAATACTAAGTAAAACAATGCCTGAGAACATAAATCAAAAATTTAAAAACAATGGTCTTACAGGTGAAGTTTTAGACTGTGATTTCCATTAAGATTTCAGTTATTTTTCAATATCTTCTCGATTTTCTCATCTTTTATTTTTCCTGAGATCAATACTTGGTTTGATGTTCCAGAATGGGCCTAACCATCAAAAGGATTAGGGAAGGCTTACATTCCAGATTGTCTATGCGATAATCCTATTAGTTTCTCCAAATTTACTTTAGTTTTCTCTACGAAAGAACTCTACCACAAATACTCTCCAGTTTCCCTTTTATTCCCTGTTTAGTTCCCTGGAGTAGAAATAACGTAAAAGTTATCTTTCAAAGACATTAGAACAGAAATGCTACCAAAAAAAAAATTCAAATGCGAAATTAATCAAAAAACATACAATACATATCATAAGTAAATTTCATAGTAGAGATGGCAGAAAGAAGGACGGATGCTCTTAAGATAGAGAACAGTGGGAAGGAGGTTCCAAACTGAGATCAAACAGGGAAGGAAGCAGAGAAAGTACTATTAGTGAACTTCCACCTGAAGCAGAACAATCCAGAACCGGGCCTCCACCACCTACGTCTCCTCACAAATAAGCTATCAGCAGCTAAGGCAGCCCCTTTTGATCTCATGTCCCTCATCCTAACCAAGAGCTATAAAATCAAGAACAGAAGAAATAAACATGATACTTCAGAAATCTTTATCCCCTAAGTCCAAAGAACTATACTTGTTATTAAAACCTAAAAGATTTACAATTTTTTGTAACAGTGAAAATCTGTTATCCCATTATTAGAAATAAAATGCAAATGCCCAAGTAAAGCTGCATATTGATTGAAACACCATACTAAAGTACAACTAAAACAAGAAATGTAAAAGACAGGCACCAGAGCATTTTTTGCTTTAATGGAGAGAGGTGGGAAAGCTGAATAGGAAAATGACTAGATGACAAAAAAAAAAAAAGGGCAAAGAAGGGCCAAGAAAGATATAAAAGGGGAAGCCAAGAATGTCAGACGCAAATTTCGAAGGCTTCTCACTTTGCCTAAGATTTGTCTCAATCATCTGTGGTTGCCCTGCATAAAAACTCACAGCTTAGCAAGAATAGTTAGCAAGATATCATAGGACTGAATCACTTCATTTATGAATATCTGTATTTCAACTAACTTTGTTACAAAGATACTTTGTTCCCAAAGGATTTAAGGAGAATTTTACTGCTGTCTAGATCACATTTGTGATTCACAGTGACTCTCAAGTCTTTTTCTGTCATACCAGTTCTCAACCTTATCTTTCTTGCTGTTAAGGTTTCCTCATGTATTAATCTCTAATATATTAATTCCCATTTTCAACAAAACTCCATCTCTAGTGTTTGGGGGGACTTAACTCTCCCACAGAGTATATAGCCATAATTCAACTTCTTCCACCACCACCCTTGGCCAACAATAATTATACACATTTTCAAATAATGGCTAGTTTTTCTATCTATAAAATTAGGTATTCCTAATACGGAAAATAAAGAAAACAATCAGTGCTTCTCAAGCATCAATTATGGAAGATCACTTTTTAAAAAATTTCCTATACATCATGGTCCTATACTTTTGTAAAATAAAAATAAATTACTGGAAAAGTGATCACATATTTGGATGCTGCAGTATTATCAAATTGTTAAATGAGTTTCTAAACATTTACTTTCAATGTTTTAACTTACCTCCCTACAGACAGGTTAACAAATACTTCATGGACTAGCACTGGTCCCTTGATACTCCATGAGTGGTAGTGCTCTAAGGCATATATTCTCAGTATACAACTCTTCAGGAAGTTTTTCACATAACTAACAACAATAAATCAACCCAGTTGAATGGCTGTGAACCTCCTTGGACTGTTTTTCACATCCCACATTTCATTTCAGTAAGTCCCTATAGATACAAGGACCTCAGCTGTAGCTTCTTAGCTTATTTATGAGAGAAAGAGGAGTTTTTACAAATTTACTGAAGATCCTAACTCTCTAGTTGTAAGCAAGCAACACTTTCTGCTATCTGTTTCTCCATATTCAAAAATGTCAACCCAAAACATCTTTTCTCCATTCACTTTTCTGAATCTAGAGAATTCTCTGCTACTTCGCAATCATCAGATATTTAAATTGGCACTAGTTAATATGCTGCTGGGTAAATGTTCTCTAGTAGGTTCATGTATTCCCTCTACAATTAGATTTGAGGAAAGCAAGAAAAACATCAGTCCATTCTTTTTTAATTTTCCACATACAAGACAGTTAGACTGCCTACAGTAAAAACACCTGACTGATTGATCTGATCCCAATAATTCACATACCCGACAGGGAAAAAAGCAGCATATCTGGCCCAGGGATTGGTCCAACTGAGATTTTCAGAAAATGATTTACCTAACTAGCTATGAAACAGTAGTATGGCCTAACTACTTGTTCTCTGATACCATTATGAAATAAATATCATTGAGTAATCAGGACAGCCTGCTTAGATCAACCTGGAATTATAATTAAATATTTACATAAGTTGGAGTTACTTCCACTAAAATTACATCATTAAACAGACATTATGAACTACTACAACAAGAGAAAAACAGATAAAGTCTCCACATACCTTTAATTCACAATGTGTAGCATGCAATACTCTTATGCCAAGAGTATTTCCAATACGAAGAGATTTTAAACCTTCTCAACTCAACCATTAACAATTTAAAAATACATGCAACTTGTACTCACACAGATTGCTAACCATATAGCCCACTATTGGAAAAAATCTCTACGTCCCTACATGTAATTTTAAATGTAAATGGCAAGAAAATATGGTCCTTCAAAGACACACTGTGAACCCTGAATTTCTAAGTAGAGACTGACACACAGGTCCTTTCAGTTTAGACAGACATTGAGTTTACACTATGGCAATTATCCAGGCCATGCTCATCATTTCACAGATGTGAAGATTACAGACTAGAAAGTTGGCCCAAGGTCACAAAGCTAGAAATCAAGCACCTCAAAAATCACCGCATAGTACTCATTTCACTATAATCAGCTTCCGTTAGGATATATTCTAATATTTCTCCAAATATTGAGGTCACATTTGTAGTAATATTTCCTTTTATTATTTTTCTTTACTAAAATAAATTTTAAAAGAATGGGCACTATATCTTCCTTTTTCCAATCTCCAGGGATTTTTGCCATTTTCTCAAAAATAAGTATCAGTAGCTCTAAGTCATATATTTCAACTTTAAAATACATTCCACCAAACTCTCATATTAGAATACTTTTAAGCATTTATTTGCCATTCTAGTTTTACTTTCTACTTATACATCAGAAATGTTACTTATCATGGGTAACTGATTATTACTTTAAGGATATAAAAAGGCAGAAGGGGACCCCCTAAGACTACTTAAGGGCTTTTCACTTTCCCCCTATACTACATAGCTCCAGATAACTTGATTTCTAGGTTGTACGTGCTTTTCAGCATTTTACTGTTCCCTTCCATATTGACAGGCTTTGTCTATTGTCACTTCTCACTACCGCCAATGAGTCTGCTTGTGTCCAATGCTATTCCACTTCTACTATATGGATTTAGAAACCACATATTCCAATTTATGAGAATAGTACGTAAAGCAAGAATAAACGCGTTCTTGGTGAGAGCCTATAAGAAAGTCTATAAAATCAACCCATACATTTTAATCAATCAATTCTAGTTGCTTAAAAGCATTTTATAATTAATTACTTCCTTCTTCTCATCTATGTTTCAAAATGGGGATTTAGGTACATGAGGTTTTGGTGTTATTTATACCTGACCCCATAAATTTTTTTGTCTTGAAAACATCTAGTCTCTTTGAAATTCATTTTATACTACCCTCAATCAGATACTTTCTAAACTAATCTTAAGTTTATATCAGTTTTCTAAAATTAATATTCTAATATTCTTTTCTTTTGGGTCTTTCTTCCATTACTTAGGAAATTGAATTAGTTATAACTTTACAGTAATTGCCACCAAGATTTTCAACCTCCTGAACATCTTTAGCTGCAACTGAACCTAACCAAAAATACCACCTTCTTTAGATTATTATTACTAATAACACAATGATTCTCGTTAAGACTCAAAGGCATCAAACTATAATAAAGTTTTCATTTCTACTTGTCACAAAATCAGTCCCTATAAAATATTTCCAAATCTATGCATGGTCTACCAAGCTCAATTCCAAACAAAATGAATTAAATTTCTAATAAGAGAAGATTTTAAATTGTTTTCAAACAATTGGGCCAATTATGAAAAGTTAAAGATTTAAGTTTGCCTTTGTAACGAGGAGTTCAAATTTGGGGAGATCTCTTTGAAATTTAGGACACAAATAAAGTTAAACATGATTAACATGCCTACAGTGGGTCACATTAACAGCAACTACAACATTAAATTAGATGTTATCTTAAAAAAAGAACACATTAAGATAAAGAAAATGAGCAAGAATAAGCAGAAGGATTTCACCCCTTCAAATAAAATGTCTCTATTCCATGCACAGAGATCAAATGAAATTCTAGATATAATATATAACAAGGAAAAGGGTAAACAAAAGGCAAGAAAAACGTTACAGTCCATAAAAAGCCCTCCCTTCACTTGAGAGAATATTGACCATTATGTAGGTAACACACCAATGTCACCTCTACATTCTATTTAGTTTCACGTAAGTTCAACTTCACCTACCTTTCTTCTCTGAGAGATGTTGAGGGCACCAAAGTCATTAAACAAGGACGAAGCAGGTGAAGTTAGAGCATCTGGAAGGTAAGTTACGTAAGTTTCCACAGAGACAACTCAGGTAACCCACAAATCTAATAAACGTTTAACTTGACAATGCTTATAACAGTAATAAAAATCATATACCATAATAGTAGTTAAACTCAACATCTTGCATACAGTGGATGTTCAAATATTTTGAGTGAATGAAACACAAATTGGAGAACACTTCATTCAGCCAATACTCAGTACCTATTTATTCAGAAGCTATATGGATTAGGATGCATCTGCTTGCTTAGAACCCAAAGAAAAATCAAATAGAGAAAAAAGGCAAAGATGACTCTTAACCACATTATTAGGAGTCTGTAGATAAAGAAAGTCAGTCTACCTGTAGTGAATGTAGTGAATGTTTGTGTTCTTGAGACTAAATCATGAGAAAAATAAAAGGGGTAGCTGGGGAGGAAGCGCAGTCAACCACACACCGGGATCAGACTTCGATTTTAACCCAGAGGCAAGGCCTTAAAGCCATCAACTCTCAGAATATTCCAGATTTTTAAGTTTATTGCTACATATTTGATATTCTTACTAAAAAGATAAGGTAAATTAAGTTTTTAAAGATGGAAATATTAAACATTTCAAAACAAACACGAATTTCAAAGCTTTATAGGTTCAAAGTTCTATTACTCCAGAAGTTATAAATAAAGGTATATCTCTAAACTGTTTCTCACCTAACAAATCAGAAGAGTTTTTCAAAAGGCATGCACGATATACACTGAAATAGTTTATCTTCCATTTTAAGCTTTAATCTTACGCTTCTGATTAAATTATCTGTGAAATCTTAAAAAATATAGTAAATGTTCCCATTTAAAGGAAACTTAAATCTCTTCATAATGCAGTACAGATAGATAGCTGCCTAATTTCTCTGGCTTCTTCTGCCTGGGTTTTGATAATCTAGTTCTTCATTAGAATTAACATTAATTTAATGTAACTAATACGCAAGAGAAAGAAGCTAATAAAATAGTAAGACATAACGTATTTTTATGTAATTTATACATTCAAGGCATTTAAAAATAGGTAATATCATTCACCCTTTATGCTACCTTTCATAGCAGTTAAAAGTCAGCACATAAACTCTATGAGAATGCTAAAAATATTACAATGCTACCAATTAGTTTCTAATAATTTTATTCAATATTAAAATGTTGCTTTTTTTTCTATAGCAAAAGAAACAAAGGCTGAAATTTCCAAATAGTGAAAGAGATCTGATACACACACACACACACACACAAAAATGGCTATCACAGGAAATAATCAACATGCAAATTCTTATTCTCATCATTATTAATAATTGTTAACACTTTACTGAAGCAGAGTATTAACACTCAATTGTTACATATTCTTTAAAAACCATTCTTGAACATTTATTTTAAAAATAGGATACAGAAAGATATCTGGCAATTCTATATCAAAAGCCTTAAGAATGTCTATAATTTCTAAAACAGTAATTCCATGTCTAAGAATGTTTCCAAAAGAAATAACTCAAAATATGAACAGAGACTTATATAGTCAACTATTGGAGTGTTACAGTTCTTAAAAAAAAAAAGAATAGAAACAAAAATAGTTAAGTAAATTATGAAAACAAACAATAGAATTCAATTTATAAGGAACAACACTCATAATTTAAAACTATATTTAATGCCATCTTTATTATTATGTATATACTTATTATTATGTATATATGTGTGTATGTGTATATAGATAACCAAAATCTTAGTTATCTCTGAGTGTGAAGATAACAGATCATTTTTATTCTCTTCCTTATACCTATCTATAATTTTCAAACTTTCTACAATGGATATATTGTTTTCAGAGTCAGAAATATATATATAAAAGAGAGAAAGGGACCAGGTCTCACCGTGGCCTGCATACGGCTTGGCACTGTCATTCACAAGGCTCGGGGAACTGCTACTATTGGTCATTCTCTGAAAAATAATACACATATAAGATCACTGAGAAACACAGAATTAAGAATATCCAAGCAATTAAGTTAAGATTGACCATCTTTGCTTATTCCTCTCCAACCCATCTTTCACATTACTGACACTCTAATCTTCCTATAAATGTTGCTGCTTGAGTTACAATAATCTATGCAAAAACTTCCAAATCCTCTAACACACCAAATGAAAATTTTACTCACTAGTCATGTATTTAAAACCAAAGTTGCAGGCCTATTTTGAATTGCACTTCTATGACTTATTAGCCTGGGCAAAGTATGTAACTAGATTTCTTTGTCCACAGAATAAAAATTCCAATATCTATCCGAGAGGATGTGAACTGACTATACGTAAAGGCAACACTTGCTCTCTAATAACCTCTCCCAACACGTACTGTCCTTTATACTCCTTATAGTTTCTATAAAATTAGGCTATTCTCTGCTCTCTAAACACATCCCATACTTTCTTAATATATTCCATAGTCTCTCCATTGTGAAAGGCCTTTACACCATACCCACAAAACACACAGAGGAGTGAAACTAGTCTCTTTCTAACTACCCTCTAAATACTCCACTGTCATCCCACCCCCGACCCCACCCTTGAAGCCTCACCCTGAATCCAACCATACGGGACACGGCTTATCTGTATACCACCCACCTCATCACCTCCTAAAATCCCACCCCTGCTCAACAAATTTAGGAATAAATAAACACTCTAGTTGTCCCCCACCCTGGGAATAAACTTTACTGTCTAGTGCCATATAAATTCATACTAACCATACCTGCACCAAGGGATACTTTGTTTCTACAGGGCTTCCAAATCCATTGACTCCAATAAAGCTGGTGCTGAAATAGGAATCTGTGAGACTTGTATCAGTTAAAGCACCTCCGTCTATTCCAGGAACTAAAAGAGAAGGAAAATTCAAGTATTTAAATTACTTAAAAGCAAAACACTGATGTAGTTTTTGTGTTCCTGAATAAGTTTTCAAGTCTCAAATCTCTGTTACCCGTTCATGACAAAAGGCAAGACCAAATAAATACTGGCTCAGCTCTAAAAACCTGTTGAACAAAGCTCAAGTTGACTGAATTTTTTTCCACAGATAGTATTTTGCATTAGTTACCTAAGACCCACCAAGCACAACACAAAGAAACAAACCACACTTGCATTTCCAGTTTTCTCACCAAGTTTTTTTTCTCTAACTTTGCAAAATGACAGTCAAATATAAACCACAGCAGTTTCTCCTGTGAATCTTCATACGGTAAGGAGAGGCAAGTTTCTCAGGACTCATCTTACGAAACAGACCAGCAGTCCCACACTAACTATAATTCAGTCAAAACAATTCTGCAGAGGTAGCAACGGGATTGAGTTCAGGAATACAGACAAGCTATCTGTTGATTTTAGGGTAGGATAATACAGAATGATTGTAACTAGGATGACAATCCATCATAGATCAACAAAGTAATGGACAGCATGTTTCAGATGCTACTTCCTGGTAACTGGAATGCTATTTTCTGAGCTACCAGTTAAGTACAAAGCCTTATGCTTTACAAATCAGCTAAGCTCCAAGTAGGATTGCCCTCTTCCAGACAGAGCCTCTGAGAATCACTGAAACCCTTCCCAACCCCAACTAAAAAGTAAACTTAAAAAATGCTGATAGTTGGATGCAGGAGGCTATGATCTGCATGTTTATATTCCCCAAAAATTTATATGTTGAAATACTAATCCCCAAAGATGATGGGATTAGGAAGTGGAGGCTTTGGGAGGTGTTTAGGCCATGAGAGTGGAGCTCTCATGAATGAGATTAGTGTTCTAATAAAAGAGACCCTCTAGAGATCCCTAGCCCCTCCCAAAATGTGAGGACACAGCAAGAAAGTGCCCATCTATGAACCAGGAAGTAAGTCCTCAACAATCACCACGAGAAATCTGCCAGCACCATGATCTTGGACTTCCCAACCCCCGGAAGTGTGAGAAATACATTTCTGTTGTTTACGAGCCACTCAGACTATGGGATTTTGTTATAGCAACACAAATAGACTATAGGAATTCCTTAGAAAGCAATCTGAGGTAATTTTTATTATCTATTTTAAAAATCTAATTCTCAAAATGTCCACAATTAAATGTATTACTTTTATAATTACAAAAAGATTATTTCTAATGGTTCATATCTTCTGAATTAGTGATTACAATTTCAGATGTGGCTGAAGAAAATCAAAAACACCTAAAGATTTATAACTTAAGATGTTCATCATTGTGTTCATTTATACACAAGTATTACAAGTATTATTTTAATAACAAAAAATTAGAAACAATGTGAAATGCCCAACAACAGAAGAATGATTAAGCAAATTCTAACACATGCATTGAAAGAATACTATAAAATAATTTAAAATTAGGGTAATTAAAGCCTGGGATTTATTTAATACTCTAACAAATCACAACAAAAACTGGGAGGAGAGACAGACAAAATAAGACTGGAAAAAAGTTGATTACTGTTGAAGCTGAATGACAGGGGATTATTATACTCTCCTCTCTACTTTTATTAAAGTTTAAAATTTTCCATAATAAAAGGTTCTAGAAAATGAAGATAAAGACTAAATGATGGAACTATTCACAATGTGAAGTAAAAAGGGAACGCATTTTTATTTCTATTATGATGATAATTGTGTGTGCTTACATGTACACTAATGTGCCGCATAACAATGTTTCAGTCAATGACAAACCGTATTCAGTCAATGACCACGTATACAACGGTGGTCCCATAAGATTAATACCATATAGCCGAGGTATGTAGTAGGCTATTGGTTTGGGTTAGTACTATAAGGGAGGAAGAAATTCTCCTCTACCCTTCTAGGTTCTTCTGGCTGGTCTAAGAATTAAATTGACGTGAGACAGATAAACAAGAGAAAAACAAAAGTTTAATAATATGTATACATGGAAGAAACCCAGGAAAACTAAACAACTCGCCAAAATTGCTAAAGCCCTCACCCTAAATACCATCCTCAGCTAAATCAAAAGATGATGCTGGGAGTGGGACGAGTCAGGGACTTCAAAGGGAAGGAAGGCAATTCACAAGAAGGGGAAAAGGAGCAAACAAACGTTTGGGAAACAAATTTTTAGTCACACAGAAACAGAAGGCCACAGAGGGGACCCAAATGAACGGGCTTTTCTAGGTTCCTCCCTGTCTGCCACCTAGTTTATGTTACGCTAAGGTGACAGCTCACTTGCTGAGACAGGTTTTGCTTGTTTTGGGGTGGTTTTTTTTGCTGAGAAAGATTAGCCCTGAACTAACATCTGTTGCCAATCTTCCTCTTTTTTTGCTTAAGGGAGATTACTCCTGAGCTAACATCCACGCCAATCTTCCTCCGCTTTATATGTGGGTCACTGCCACAGCATGGCTGACAGGTGATGTAGGTTCATGCCTGGGATCTGAACCCATGAACCTGGGCCACCAAAGCGGAGCATGCTGAACTCAACCACAATGCCATGGGGCCAGTCCCTGAGACAGGATTTTTAATCTGAATTCATTTAGACAGTTAAGGGGGAGGTAACAAGAAAAACTTCCTGAGTCTTTTGTTTCTTAAAAATAATCAGCTTAAAATAATCCTCATGTTAAAGAGACACATTCTGGGATGGCAAATTTTGTTCCTTCAGTACATGTTCTCACAATGATGAAACCATCTAATGACGCGTTTCTCAGAACACATCCCTGTTGTTAAGTTACACTGTACACATACAGACTGTAAGAATGAATAAACATACCAAAATGTGTTATCCGGTTGATTAAATGGGAGAAGTTAGTCTTTTCTCTTGTGACTTTTGTATTATGTAGTTATTTTCATAATGATGATGACAACAGAGAAATTCCTAAGGGGAGAAGTTTCTCCTCCCATTCCACCAAAACCCTTAATGGCATCTACTATCTTTTCCTAGTAGAATGAAATGGTTTTCAAAAATAGAGTACAATTCCAGAGTCAAGTTATTTTCTAATATACCTTTTTTATTTCAAATTTTTAAAAAATTTGAAATCCACTTTTCTTCATATTTTATACAAGCTAATACAATAGAACTATTATTGAACATGCCAGAATTCAAATACCTATGGTCGATGTGTTATCTTACTCGATTTTAAAGTAGACTCACTGCACTATAAATAAGCACGGAAGCCTAACCAAATGTTTGTAAAATAAATACGAAACAGCTGTTGGAGGACAATAAAACAATCTTAAAACGTCCCATTCTTTAATAATATTTTATCTTTAAGAAATAGAATTTGTCCTAATAACATTACCAAACTTCTGGTAGGGTTTTTCACTGTATTAAAGTTTGTTTATGTTCCGTTAGGATGCACAACTTTGACAGGAGAAACGTTATGCTCCCTAACAAAAGAATATCTGATCAGGATTAACCAAAAAAAAAAAAAAAAGGGATGGGGGAGTGCTGAATATGGCCAGTAATTAAGGGTTAATTTACTTTGTTAATTAACAGTCCAGACAAAGACCTGAAACTGTAAAACAACTAGAAGAAAACACAGGGACAAAGCTCCTTGACATTTGTCTTGGCAACAATATTTTGGATATGATACCAAAAGCGCAAGCAACAAAAGCAAAAATAAACAAAAGTGAGGGGCTACATCAAAATAAAAAGCACCTGCACAGCAAAGGAAACAATCATCACCATAAAAAGGCAACCTACGGAACAGCAGAAAATATCTACAGACCATCTATCTGATAAGGGGTTAATATCCAAAATATATAAGGAACTCATACAACTCAGTAGCAAAAAGAAAAAAAACCCAAAAAACGCAATCTGATTAAAAAATGGGCAAAGGGCTTGAACACATATTTTTCCAAAGAAGACCTACAAATGGCCAACAGGTACATGAAAAGATGCTCAACATCACAAATCATCAGGGAAACGCAAATTAAAACCACAATGAGATATCACCTCACACTTGTTATAATGGCTATTATCAAAAAGACACACGACAAGTATTGGGGAGGCTGTGGAGAAAAGGGAATCGTTGTGCATTGCCAGTGGGAATGTAAACTGGTGTAGTCACTATGGACAACAGTATGGAGGTCCCTCAAAAAATTAAAAATACAATTACCATATGATTCAGCTATCCTACTTCTGGGTATATAGCCAAAGGAAATGAAATCACTATCTCTAACAGGTATCTGCACCCCCATGTTCACTGCACCATTACTCCTAACAGCCAAGACATGGAAACATCCTAAGTGGCTACTGACAGATGACTGGATAAAGAAAACGGGATACATCTATACAATGGAATATTATCTAGCCATAAAAAAGAAGGAAATCCTGTCATTGTAGGCTACATTGATAGACCTTGAGGACACTATGCTAAGTGAAATAAGTCAGACAGGGAAAGACAAATACTGCATCTTGTCACTTATAGGTGGAATCTAAAAAAGTTGAACTCAAAGAAATAGAGAGTAGAAAAGTGGTTGCCAGGGGCTAGTGGGTGGGAGAAATGGGGAGATGTTGGTCAAAGAGTACAAACTTCCAGCTATAAGATGAATAAGTTCTGGGATCTAACGTACAGCATGGCGAGTATAATTAACACCACCATATTATATACCTGAAAGTTGTTAAGAGAGCAGATCTTAAAAGCTATCATCACACAAAAAATAGTAATTAGGTGAAGGGATGGAGGTATTAACTAACCTTACTGTGGTAATCATTTTGCAATATATGTGTGTATCAAATCATCACACTGTACACCTTGGACTTACGTATTTTCTATGTCAATAATACCTCTAATAAAGTGGAGAGAAAAACTTTTCACACACCTACTCACCCTTGAGTTTTCTTGTTTTGGAAAGTTACAGTTTTGGAAGGAAGGAAATGGGAACAGATACTTCAAGAGTAGTTAGAAAAAT